AGAAAGAAGCAGATACCTAGACATGATTCTTGTGCGTCATAGGAAATAAAATGTACCTCTATTCCAGGTATTTGAAAAGCTGCTGCTACTGAACCCTGAAATAGAAGCGGAGCAAATATTAATGTCACCCAACTCATTTATTAAGCTTCAGACGAACAGGTATGTGAGCCGCTGCTGGTTTTCAGCATTTGTGAAATTATACTAGCATTCAATGACTCATTTGTCAAAGTCATCAGCAGCTTGAAGAAGCCACGGATGCTTCAGGTGAACTGGGCATCTTTCTTGGTGTTGCCTTTAAAACGAGTGCAGCTTCTGCATTTTTTCTTCTTTCTCTGTGGATGTTCCATGCTCTTCTATGTCACTTACCCTTGTGGGGCCCTCTTCTCCTTCCTGTAACCTAGAAACTTTTTAATGTTTACTGCTAAAATCCAGTATGTCAAAGGGGGAAAAGTACCAACTTGGAAGTATTAAATTTTTCAAACGCCCCTGTTTCCTCAGGACTTGTCATTCAAAGTGTAGTCCACACACCAACAGCATGGGCATCACCTGGGAACATGTGAAAATACAAATCTCAGGCTCCACCCTAGACCTGTACTTTAACAGGATCCCCCCAGCAATGGGGGTGCACATTAACGCTTGAGAAGCACAGTTTTTATGCATGTCTACAAAAAAATAAATAAAGCATGTCTACAAACATGATTCCTACCTTGCATTCCAAGGTGATATCTTTGGTAACAATGACTTGCATTTGAATTACAGTTGCAAAATGGGGGGCTGTAAAGACCATAGGAGCACTTATGTGTTCTGTGAAACACATACACGTGGTATACATTCAACTAAATTGTGTAAACAACAACTTGTGTGCTACGCTTCAGGAACAGAGGTGGATAACACCTGGTGCCCTTGAGTCTGGTAGGGAAAAGAAGATAGCACGAGAAGGGCTATAATTAAATGAGATATAGTGTTCAAGCCATAGCCCAAAGAAGGGCCTTCCATGTGAGGAGTTAGAGAAGGCATGAGCTGGGTCTTGAAGGATATATAAGAATTCTTCAGGTTAGGAGAACAGGACTGACGAGGATGGAGAAAGTTGAGGCAGAGGCAGTAACATTTGTTTAAAGTCATCTAAGGAAGGTCGTAGGTCGGGCACAGAGGCTTCCTATTTCTTTGTGGTATTAATATTCACATAGTTGGGGAAAGCATAGTTTTAAGACAGCATAAAATACAGCATAATTTGTATTTTACTCAATACATAGTATCATTAGTTTTACAGACCACTTTCTGAGCAAGCAGCTCGTTTTTACCCTGTTAACAGCCCTTGGAAATAGGGCATCACTCCCCATTCACAATTGAGGAAACAGGCCAGGAAAGGGGGCCTAAAGGTACACAGATAAAAAGGGCATTGAGACTGATTTGGGATTCTCTCTGACTCAAAACTCATCCTCTTTCTGCCATGCCAGGCTGCCTTATTTCAATAAATTGAAAACAATTTGCCTCAGAAATGATATAGTAAATGCCCCATGCAGCGGATGACAGAAACTCAGTGCTCATGGTCTTTCCCTCTCCTCTGACCAATCAGGCCCAGTAGGTGCTGCTCTCCAAAGAGCCAGAAACATGCTTTCCTTGGAACTTTTTGTTTTCCAAATTAGGTTTTCAGTTGGTGACTTGAAGTTGCAGACAGGCTGCCCCCATGGTGTCCTGATACACCGTGGGTCTAAGATTGGTCCTTTCTCTTCTCCTAGGAGCAGTGGGGAACCCCAGAATCCCGGCCCTTTGCTGTGAGCCACTTCCCCCCAGCTACTGTGTGAAACGGGCTCTGTTTTGTTTTCTAAAGGATTGGTGCAGCATCGCTGAGCTACCGTGTTCTCGATGGGCCCGAGAAGGTTCCTGTGGTGCACATCGATGAGAAAGGCTTCCTGGCATCTGGGTCCACTATTGGGACTTCTACAATTGAAGTGACTGCGCAAGAGCCTTTCGGGGCCAACCAAACCATCATCGTTGCAGTAAAAGTAGGATCATATTCTTTTCCTTTTTAGAGTAATGAAGGCAATAGTGTCGAGGTAATGTTTTTCCCCTTGCAGGTGTAAGTGAATAAATATATCCACCTTCCAACTTAGAAATCATACGTAAGAATTTATTTCAGAATAACTCAGAGGCAAAGGTCTTGGATAAAAACTACAGTATCTTCTGACTATCAGAGTCATGGGTCCTTGGAAGTTATAGATTGCAATGACCTTTTTTCACAGTTGGAGAAACTGAGGCTGAGCAAGTTCTGCGACTTGCTGGAATTGGCACCCTACGGTCCTGACTGTCCAGCTGGCACCTGGAATATGATAGGTGCCATTGAATGCATGTGTTAGATACCTGACCCACAAAGCATTACAGTACATCCATGGCAGCTTGGAGAAGTAGTTGACCCATTTTACAGTCAAGGAAACCAAGATTCAGAGTGGAAGTGAGTTGCTCAAGGTCACACAGTGATTGAGAGTCAGAGTTTGTGTTCTAACCCACATTGGTCTGGCTCGGGTTTGTATCCTCCAGTCACATCACAGTGCCTCCTGTGTCCCTCCTTAGTGATGAGGACTTTCTTTTTGGACATCCTCGGATTGGGTCTGGGGTTTATCCTGAACAGATTTTCTTTCCATATCTTATCACAGCCACTTTCTGAATCCTAGATAACAGTGAAAATACATGACCACTTTCATTTTTAGATTTTGCCCGGCTTACAGGCCTATTTCCTTAATTAATGTCTTTTTGTTCCAAGGTGAGTACCTGGCAAGGAACCTCTCCCCTAGTTTATGAGCAAGTGAAAGTGACTGACCACCCATCTGATATCAACAAATATGTATTGAGCACCAGCTGTGTACCAGTCACTGTACTACTGAACTTTGTTAAAGAAATTACGTCTTTTGGGGAGTTAGCTTTTTGTCCAGGGCAGATTTTAATTGCAGTTAGAGAAAGCTGATATGTATGTAACTCAGGATGTTGGGCTCCTGAAACTCATCATTCTTTCTTTTTCTTGTCTGTCCTTTCCTAGAGCAGTTGCAAGTATGCAGTGCCCTCTAGTTAATGCTACTTCTAGAATCCAAGAGGGCAGTTTTTCTACTTTAAATGCCTGGAGATCCAAGGCCTCTGAAGAATCTGAATAGTCAAAGCCCAGGGATATTTTGCAACATGAATCATGATCTAATTTTTCAAAATCACAGACTTGGACTCTTGTGGGTTAGGTTGGCTCACTTTATTGGGAGGTGGGAATCTTGTCACTAGGTTGAGATACTCTGGGGAGTGAGGCCTTTGTTCTTTATCAGTCCAGCCCCTAGTCCTTCCTGAGATGGGGACCAGCTAGGGACAAGCATCTCCTCCTTGGGAGGTGGGTTTTTAGAACAGCCAGTTCCCATACCTGCTCATTGTCTTCCAGGTGTCTCCCGTTTCTTACCTGAGGATCTCCATGAGCCCCACTCTGCACACTCAGAACAAGGAGGCTCTGGTGGCCTTGCCTTTGGGAATGACCATGACTTTCACTGTCCATTTCCATGACAACTCTGGAGACATCTTCCATGCTCACAATTCAGTCCTCAACTTTGCAACTAACAGGTAGAGTGTGAGTGATGTTCATTTCTCATGTTAAGGCATGTCTTGATTGTACCCAGATTTAATTTATGGAGGTGACTGATGACAACACGGAGAGGCTAATGCCATTGGAAGAAGAGTTTTGTTTCTTAGAGTTTCCAAGAGGAGGGGATGTGCCATTCAAGAATACCGAAGGAAGCACTAGGCTTGGTCTGGAGGCTGGAGGAGCAAGGGGAAAGCGTGGCTGGGAGCCTATGTTTTACTCTACGGCAGGACGTTGTTCAGTGGGGACGTCCTCTAATGGTCAGGAAGCAAAACACAGATGTTGAGGTTTGTAGTTGGAGGATCTGTAATAAGATTTTTTTTGCACCTTTGAAAGCTGGACTACAGGGGAGATGTCAACAACCCTGACCATTGGCCTGGCCCTGTGATCCATGGATGCAAATCCTCAATTACAGGCTCTACAGAAGTTGGTCAGAGCAAGGCACACACCTTCCAATGCTCAGGCGTTCACTGACCCTCTGCTCTGTGCAGGCCCTTCTGTATGACATCTTGCTCTTCACTGTAGCCCATTTGTTGAGGCCCAGAAAGGTCAAGCCACTTGTCCAGGGCCACACAGCCTGGAAGTGGGGTTTGAATACCAGATCCTACCTGGCTCCAAATGCCATTCCTTTTGGACAACTCTTCTGAAATACAACTGCAACACCAGGTGGTCTCCAGAGCGAAGAAGAGAGCCATGACTTCAGTCTGGGCCTGCTGAAACTTCTGAGTCCTCTGGAGAGGTTGATCACAAAAGTTTGGTCCCAGACCAGCATTATCAACATTACTGGGGAAGTCTTAGAAATGCACATTCACTGACTGGGTCAAGCAATCTGTGTTTCAGCAAGGCTTCTATGTGACTAGAGGTTAAGGACCATTGCCCCAAAGGGATGCAGACCAAGCCAAGAGGAGTGAGAAGCATCAGATCAGGAGGAGGTGCAGGGCTTGAGAAGTTATTCTAGGCTATACTAGGGTAGGGGCACAGAAGATTGTATCCAGGTGTTGGTGACCATTGCAACCTGGCCTTCTCAGGGGCCCTATAACAGATGTGTCCCCTATTGCTGAATACAGTTAAGGCCAGTCACTGGGAGTGTGGCATGGTAGAAGATCCTGGATTTAGAGTAAGACCTTTTTTAAGTCCAGCTCTACTCTTTATGGGTACTGTAAACTTAGACAAGGCAGGTCACCTCTCTAGGCCTCTCTTTCCATGCTTGTCATATAGGGAATGTGGCCTAATCCCCAGGGCCATCAACTGAGGCTGTGGTTGTGAGGGCCTCTGGCCAGCTGTGGAGCTCTGTATACACTTACCAGTGACCTGTCAGTCTGGGATATAGGCTGCCCTGGAGGAATGGAGCCAGGTTGTCACAGCCCCTCAGCTACCCTGCTGGCCCTTCTGTGGTAGGAACCTCTCTCCAAGAGACCAGTCAGGGTTCAGGAGTCTGAACTCATGGTGGGGGGAAGTGATGAAGCCAGGGACCCTAACCCTCAGCCTGTCCAGTTCAAGCCTTTCTACCAGACAACACTTGTTGGTGTGGTTGGAGCTGTCACCTCATGCCAGGTACATATGTAAGTGCTTACAGCTACCAGTCTGTTCCAGTTCTCACATCAAGCTTGTGACAAGGGTATATTTTTAAACCCATTTTACAGATGAGGAAGTGGGCAGAGGCTACCTTGCTCATTCAGGTTACACCACAATGGGCAGTCTATGCTTCCCCAGGACATCCTTTTCCATGTTGGGAAGCACCGTGTAGATCACTTTCTTCTATGGACCTCAGCTTTCCCTTCTGCTACCATATGGGGGTGGTGATGTCGGCCGTTCTTGGCTGAGGGCCATGGGTTCCTCTGGGTGATAAGATGAGGGCAATTTTGTGGGGCCTGTGGTACTCTATCTGGAACAGCTGCGCAGTAATTGTGAGTCGGAGTGACATCTGGGGCTAGTCAGCAAAAAGTGTCGCCCAGCAGAGGACTCACACTGCATTTCTCCCACTGGAGTTGAGGCCTCTTTCCTGATACTGAGAGCCCTCATCTCCCTCCTGTGCGTAGAGACGAGTTTGTGCAAATCGGGAAGGGCACCACCAACAACACCTGCGTCATCCGTACCGTCAGCGTGGGCCTGACGCTGCTCAGCGTATGGGACATGGAGCACATGGGCCTCTCCGACTTCGTCCCATTGCCCGTCCTACAGGCCATCTCCCCGGAGCTGTCTGGAGTGGTGGTGGTGGGGGATGTCCTCTGTCTGGCCACTGTTCTGGTCAGCCTGGAAGGTAAGAGAGAGACACTGGCTGAGGGAACTCTCCTTTGTGAGGTATGAGAAAAGGATGGGAGTGGGCTTCCCGGGGAGGTATGCCAGTAGAACTTAGATGATGTCCTGGAACAGGAGTCAGAAGACTAACACCCCAGTCAGCATCCAGCCTGCTGCCTCTTTTTGCAAATAAGATTTTATTGGAACTCACACATACCCATTCATTTACGTGTTGTCAGTGGTTGTTTCACCCAACTGCCAGGTCGAATGGTGGCATCAGAGACTTTTCGGCCTACACAACCTAAAATATTTACTATCTGGCCCTTTGCCAATTCCTGCTCTAAAAGAACTCTGTCCAATAGAATGTTCTGCCATCACGGAAATATCCTGTATCTACACTCTCTGACACAGTAGCCACTACCATTGAACACTTGAAATGTGATTAATGCAACTGAGAAACTGAATGTTTCATGTTACTTAATTTCACAGCTAATAGCTATCATACTGGACGGCATGCCTCTAGAAGGAAACCTAAGCAAAGAATAGCTATTGGGCCAGTTTAATGACTTCCGAATTTCAGTCATTCCCATGCCACTTGTATGTCCATGAACTACATGTACAATTATGAATTTTTTTTCAAATTGGCTCCTTATTTTTATTTTTACTTAATTAAATTCATTTTAGAAGGAAATTAAGTATTGCCTTTAAAGTATTACCATAAACAGAATGTGTTTGTTTTTTTTATTGTACTATATAATGTGATTGGCTTTTTAACTAAGAAAGGGTGTCCAGTGACAGCTCTGAGCCTGACATTTGTTTGTTTGCTAAAAAAAGATGATAAATAATTAGGGGGAACAGGGGTGGTGCTGTGGGGGAGGGCATGGAGAGGGTGGGGGTCCTGGAGGGCCAGCACCTAGGTCATCTCAGGATAGTGCAGTGACTGAGAGACACCAAACAGGCATTGGGGGTGGTAGGGGGCCAGATGTTATTCTTGACAGGGCCACAGCTGTGCGGTAAGCAGATGTGGTAGAATCGCAGGTGGTTCCAGGTGTCTGCAGCCAGGATCATGATGAGAGCGGGCTGAGCCAGGCTGCAGAAGCAGGCAGAACGTGGACCGTAGCCTGAGAATGATGGGTGATCTCCTTTGGGAAGCCATGTGGGTGGTCAGGCAAAGGCTGGCACAGTCATCAGGTGAGATGAGGTTTGATTAGAGTGTCAGATGTGGGAAAGATGAGTGACATCCAGGGCTTCCTCTCTCAGGCCTCTCCGGAACCTGGAGCTCCTCAGCCAACAGCATCCTCCACATAGACCCCAAGACGGGCGTGGCTGTGGCCCGGGATGTGGGATCCGTGACAGTTTACTACGAGGTTGCTGGACACCTAAGGACCTATAAAGAGGTGGGACTTCAGGACACATGTGGCTCAGTGGCCCAAGAGACTTGGCTGAATTTCTTGGGATGAAATTTTCAGCTTTCTGTACCAAACGATTCCCTTTTTTAAAAGAAAGAAGTGTCAGCATCTTGTGAGGCAGTCAGGATCTGGGAATCATGAGTCTGGAGTCTGCCACCTACAACCTCTGGGACTGGGACAAGTACCCTTTTCTTCTCATTCTCTGTCTCCACATTTTAAAATGGTGTGATGATGAAAGGCAATCTTCTAGGGTTGATCCCAGCTCCCACTCAGTTTGAGCTGTGCCTGAAAAAGCAAGAATGTCCTAGGAGTTGAGGCTGTGGGCATACCAGCCCAGTGGTTTGGCGTCACTGGCAAAGTTAAACCTCCCCCAGCAAGTTACCTTTTGAGTCTTTCTGGAGGTGAATGAAACTGCTCTCTCTTTTATTTATCTCCAGCTAAGGATGAATCAATGAGTAGAGTCTGGTTGTATCCCAAATGTGTCTCATTTTTAGAGCCAGTGTGCCTTTATCAGATCCAGCAGTTTAACCTGAGAGCTTGTGTATTTAGTGCTGCAAAAATGCATTTTGAGCCAGCCAGTTGCAGAGAGAGGCACCTTGTGACTAATAAAGCTGTGCTGTCCTGGAAGGAGCTACTTAGAGTGGTCAGGGGTGAGCACCTGGGGGAGGGGTGCTGGCAGAGGGAGCATGGCATGGGCAAAGGTGTGCAGGGTTCGAGAGCTGAGCCCTTGTGACTAGAATATAGAGTGTGGGGGAAGTGGAGGCTGATTTTGTGATCAGATAACGAAACATGTTGATTTTCAGGTACTTAGTTCTGTGGAGTGTTTTAAGTATTTAGGCTCTTGGGCCAGGCTGCATGGGTTCAAATCCCAGCTGGGCCGTTGAGAGACTGTGTGACCTTGTGTAAGTTATTTAACCTCCCTGTGCATCATTTTTCTTAACTGTAAAGTGGGATAAAAGTTTTGTACAAAATAAAGAATTAACATGGGTGAAGCACTTAGAATGCTACTTAGCACATAGCATGAACTCAATAGGTATTAGCTCTGCTGTTACTATTCCAGGGTAAAGAGGTTGAAGCTTATGCCAGACGCAGTAAGGGTTCATCAGGGATTTTTTAAATCAAAGAATGATATGGATCAGAGGTAAGTTTTGGAACAATCACCCAGTGCCCAGCAGAGTCTAAGAGCCTAAGAGAAGAGAAATAGCTGCAGGGTAACCAGCCAGGAGTGAAGATGGGCTCTCAGCTGGCACTGTTGGGTGGGCAAAAGCTAAGGGTAGGTTTGGGAGAGATTCAGGAGAGAGGGTCATCAGAGCTCCATGACCCCAAAGTTGGGAGTGAGGGAGAAGGAGGCCCTGGGGACGATTCCTCAGAGTCTGGCTTGGGTGATAAGGTGAATGTCTGTCTTTTGCTCTGAGAAAGGAGCACAGAAGGAGGGGCCAGTGTGGGGGGAATATGATGAATGGCTTTGGGACATGGTGAGTTTGAGTTCCTCTAAGTGAGGCTGGTGGTGGTGATGCAGCTGATTGGGTGTGTCTGGAGCTCCAGGGCGGAAAGCTAGAGATGGGGCAAGGGTCTATAGCACAGAGATTGTTTTGAAAACCTGGAAGTGAGCAGGAACATGCAGGGCAAGAGAGGAGTGGGGTCAAGGCCTTGGCCCTCTAAGGTGTGGAGGAGAGGGAGGAAGCTGGGAGAGGACTGTAGCATGGCAGACTGGAGTAGAAGAAGAGGTGGGAAGTATGAGTGCAGGGACAGAGGTGATCATTGCGGGTTTGCGGTCTGCCTACAGCTCTGTGTGGGCCACAACCCTAGGAGCTATGGACCCTCCTGGGAAGAGTGGGACCCCATCCCCACTTTCAAGGAGATCGTGTTCTGGTAGAAATCAGACCTGAGGGAGGCAGGAAGTGCTTGATGCTTGCCCAGAGTGGAGGCCGGCAGCCTTCTAACCGGAGAAGGCTGCTCTGGAGCTGGGCCTGCAGGGAAGATGGGATTGGGCTTTGCAGAGGAGGGTGGAAGGCATGCAGCTGGGGTATTTGGGTGTAGCTTGTTGCAGGATGAGCAAGAGGGATGAGCAGGGAGAAATCTGGGAAGGTTGGAGTCTGGGACCCTTCACTGCTTGGGCTGTGTGAGTATACATTTTGGTCAGATTGACTTATTTTGAACAAATGATGGTAAAGTAAAATGGATTTTTCTCTCATTGCTGAAAAATTAATTAACCAAATCGATGGATAGAGAATTGATGATAACTAACTATCACAAGGGCCAAAATCATTGCCCGCCCTAGACTGACAAATGAATTCAGGCTTGCTGTGCAGCTCCCTGCTCTGGGTCATTATGCAAGTGCTGGGCTGCAGAGTATGACCAGCCTGGGGTCTAATCCCATCTCTGCCATGTTCCAGCACAGCATTTAGGCTTTAGCCTCAGTTTTGTCACCTGTAAAATGGGCCATACCTGGATCACAGTCACAGGGGCAGATCACAGAAATGCACAGAGCCTGTACATGGTCAGTGCTCCATGAAGTTACTTTGGCTTCCTTCTCAGATTGCAATCGGTGTCCCTCAGAGGATCATAGCCCATCATGTCCACCCTGTCCAGACCAGCTTCCAGGAGGTCACAGCTTCCAAAGTGATGGTCACTGTGGGAGACAGAAACTCTAACCTAAAAGGTAGAGAGTAAGGAAGGCTTGGGTGGTCTGGGTAGGGGCCTTGCCAGGCTCAGGGAGCGGGGAGGGGGTTTCTTGTGACCTTCTAATTGGGGTTTAATATGCTCTTCCTACTCAACTCATGCCAATTCCAGAGAGAACATTTAACCCCAGTTGAACTTCTCTTTCTTGCTCTTTAGAAATTCGAGTCATGCACAAGCAGAAGCTGTGAAAGGAATCTTCCTAAAAGAGCCTGACACCCAGAAACTGTCTATTTCTGAGCTGGAAATATGACTTTAGGCCTAGGGCACCCAAGTAGAGAAAGCCACGACTAACCATCATTAATCACAGAAAGGAATGACTGAGCTGACCCCACTTCTGATTTTCAGTTTTGTAATTACCTATCCTAAGTCATGCGTAGAACATTCAACTGCATCTCCTGCCCATGACTGCCCTGGATAGCAGCTGCCAGAAATAAATACATCAATTTATAAAAAGCCAATATAAGACTTTTTTAAATAAAAATAAATACAAGGCCTTTAAAAAAAAAAAAAAAGCCACTGAACTGGTAGAATTAAACAGCACTGTTTTTGTTCTGATTCACCACAGTGCAACTGAGCAATACTGTGCTGCTGCGGAAATGATATCAGTGTATTAGGAACTGTTGCCCTCCTGACGTCCAGAAGTAAATTGCCATTTTTCCCTTGCTGACAGGAATAGACAGCACACGTTAGTGGGCCGAACCCATCTGCCATACCCCTGGACACAAGTTCTAGCATAAATGCTGAAATTCTGAGCTGAAATTGCCTGGATTCAAAATGACCCCCTCCTCTGTAAAGTTTGTCCTCAGCTTTTATAAACTATGGTGCCATCATGAAGCTTTGAGCAGCCCTGGGGGCCTCACATGGAAGGAATTTGGGGTGTAGGTGCCATTTTGTGGCCAGGCCAGCCTCCATGTGACCTGTTCCTATCCCCTCATCTTGGGGCTTTCCAGGCAGGTACAGAGGCCTTGGTTGGCTTAGGTGTGGCGGCCAGCAGGCCTGGTCCACATACTTCTAACTCTCTCCCTATTTCTAGGTGAGTGCTCCCCAGCCCAGATGGAAGTCATTGAGACCCTGCGCCCAGCATCCCTCATCAGCTGCCAGCTCCAGTTCAAGCAAGATGTCTTTGATTTCCTGGCACGTGACGTTTTTACTGCAGAACCAAAGTTTGACGCTGCTCTGGGTACGTCTGCAGGGGTTTGAAAATGGAAATTGACTTGCACAGAAGGTTTGCCTTCACATTGTGGATTTGGCTCACAATGGCTTTCTGTCCAGACGGTCAGTCTGTCAGGAGCCCAGCCCGGGGATTGATGCTGTCACTCTGGCCTCTGTGGTTCATTGCAGCCTCCAGGAGGGATTAGCATTCCTGTCCAGGAGTCGTGGCCATTTTAGGCAACCACCTACTCCAGCAGAAAGGACATGATTCAGAGTTAGAAACCCTGGGCTTGATCCCTCTTTTGCTCTTCTAAGCTTAGAGCCTATAGGTGTTGAGGTTGCATCCCTCTGTTAAATGGGGAGGATGGTGCCTTGCTCTGACTGCAGGTCAGGACTCTGAGAGGAGCAAGCCAGAGAGGGATGGAAGAGTCCTTGTTAAGAGATCATGTGGCGTGTCATTAACTTGTTCTGTGGAACTGAAGGCCAGCATTGTGGGCAAGAATGACTACCTGGACCAATGGTGTGCTGGCTGAGCCACGGCAAGCATCACCTCATTGATATCAAGAAAGAGATGCTCCTCCAAGGGTGCTGTGAGGGTTCAGTGAGATAATTCCTGTGATAATGCTTAGCATAGTGCCCAGCACATCTTGAATCCTCAGTGGTATATGCCATCGTTATAATGATGATTATTGATGATCAGTGGATACTTCATTCCTTTCTAAGTATATGCAGCCCAGTCTTAACTGGGAGAAGTTGGCAGGCTATAAGCCCAGTTTGTAGCTCCCAGTGGTCTAGATAGAGGCCTCCTCTTCCTTTGCTCACTCTGTACCTCTATCCTTCTGACAGCAGCACCAGAGCATCTTTAGTGCCCAGGCTGCTGTCTGAGAACAGGATATGCATCTGAGGGTACATTGGGTGTGGGGCCCAAGCCTAGGGCTTAGCACAGAGTAGGTACTTGGTGGTCCTGGAGCCAGGTTATTCACTGACACATCCCCAGGGGGATAATGTAATCTCTACTTGACCAAGAGAAACAGGGCCAGCAAGAAAGCTGACTTGCCTAGGGGTGCTTAGCTGGCTTGGGCATAGATGGGACCCTAACCCAGACATCCAGATTCCAGGTTTAGGGAGCTTTCCAAGATACCACTCAACAGTGTTTATTCAGCTCATTTATCTACTCTTGGTCAGGCATAGAGGATATGAGACACCAAGATAGTCCCAAGTTATGCCTTCACAGAACTTCTTGCTGTATCTGGGGCTATAGGCTATACTGGCAGTCAGCCCTAGCTTGACCTGCAGCCCAGTGTTGGGTCATGGAGTCTGTTTGCCATTTTCTTATTCTCGTTTTGAGCTAGGCTTGCTAGACACTGAGATGCAGAGCTGAACCAGACTTTCCTGCCCCAGAGAGCATCAATCCAGTGTGGGATCTGCTGAATGGAGGATTCTGAGACAGTAAAAGAGGGTGTTGGTCACAGAAAGGGTTTCCAATAGGCTGAGGGCACTGACAAAGGACTTCCCGGGAGGTCCCTGGAGGAGGGGGCCTCATCTGGGCTCTAAAGGATGAATAGGAATTCTCCAGTTAGAAAAGCAGGAAGAAGGCATAGCATCAGGATATAGGTGTGTCAACTGATGGTCATTGGTGCCACTTCAGCACCAACAGAAATCCCCAACTTGGGGTGTGGTGAAAAAGGAAACTTTATTCAGAACAAACAGTTCAGTTGTGATACAGCACAACTGTGAGAATAGCTCGATAGCGTTACAGCTCAGTTAAAAGACCGCAGGGCTATGGAACAGCATAGCTGTGAGGCAGCCCTGGGGCGAGGCCCCTCTCTGGCTAGACAGCTCTGCTCTGCCTCTTTTGCTCCACTCTGGTCCAACAAGATGTCTTCGGTGTTTCAGCTCTAGCTGGGGAAACAGTCCTCCGTTTTTAGTGAGAAAGGAAATTGCACTCTCCAAGCCAGAGGGGAGCTGATTTATATAGACTGAAGTCCTTCCCCCCATCCCCCATCACTGATTCATTCTTCCTCATGCAAATGAAGACTCCAAATCCTCACAGTTTGATTGGTCCAAAAGACACTCTCTTGACTGATCAGAATGGAACTGCTCTGATCAGTCAGTGAAGATGCTGATGGGGATATAGCTACACAGCTCCGATTGTACAGAGAAAGCCTCAGTCCTATTGGAAATGCAGGTCCAGGAACTCCTTTAGAAGGACTGGCTCAGATGGCAGGAACATGGTGCAGGCAGGCAGTTCAGTGCAGGCTTCTCCCCAAAGTGTGGAGAAGTGTGACCAGCCCCTGTTAAGAAAACAGCTGCTAGGCTCTGCTTTTAAATCTGAGCCCAGTTAGCCACAAAGGACTCTTCTTGGTAGGCATCTTCTTTCTCAGGGCCCACAAGTAGGAGGAGAGGACAAAGTGGAACACCTTTATCTCCACAGGCCAGTACCTCTGCTTGGTCACAATGCACAAACTGACGGACAAGCAGCGAAAGAACTTGAGCATGAAGAAGACAGTACTGCTGGTCACTGCATCCCTCCTGGGCAGCCACTTCTCTGAAGAGCAGGTTGGGGCTGAGGTGACCTTCAGCCCAGGGCTGTACTCTGACCAGGCTGAAATCCTTTTGAGCAACCACTACACCAGCTCCGAAGTTAAAGTCTTTGGTGCCATGGAGATTCTGGAGAACCTGGAGGTAAGTAGTGTCCACGCATAAGCCAAGGGCATTAGAAAGGACCAGGCGGCAGGAGGACTGAGTGGAACATGGAAATCCTGGAACACCTCTTTTTAAAATTAAAAAATATATTTTAATATTCTTATCCTTTTTTTCCCCCCGCAGCACTATTGGTCTCTATTAGCCCATGTAGTTGTATTAAGTATTATGATTTCTGCTGGTCTTCCCCAACTGGAAGTTAAGTATGCCAGGATAGCATTTAGTACAGGGCCTCCCTAACATGTAGTTTGCGCTCAGTGAACATTTAATATGTTGAATGAATGAGTTTAGTGCGGGAATACTGCTGGCTTGGGGCAAGAAGAAAAGCCCTAATCCATAACCTGTCACACAACTGGGACAAGTCTCTGGGCTTCAGTTTCCTCGTCTGCTGAATGGTAGGTGAATGATGTCCTGAAGTCCAACGAGTTGGGAAGAGACCACAGGTGATGTGTGAAGGGATTTGTTGGCTTCTCTGCCTGCTCCCTCTCTTGTTTTGCTGCAGCAAATGTCACTGAATAATCTTGGAGGAGAGAGGGATAAGTGGGTTGCTGGTAATGGGTCTGTCAGGTCCTGAGGTTGGGCTGCTGGCAGTTGGTCCTTAACAGGAGCTCCAGGCTACTTTCTTGAAAGCTGGTGTTTGGTAGATAGTTCGCATCAGTTTACCACTTTTCGAAAGGGCGTTTGATTAAAATTTAATGATACTGATTTCTCCTTTCCTTAAAAACACCCCAAGAATAGACAGTGTGTTCTTTACCTGACTTTGTGGATGGCATGCTATCATTTAGAAGTTCTCAGGCATCATCACCTGCCTAGGATGTGGCTCCTGAGCAGGGGTCCCCACACCTAGCCTTCACACGGGAAAG